ATCCAGAGCAGTTATTGATTGTTCTCGATGGCTTTGACGAGTATAAAGACAGCAACAAAATGCTCGGAGATTTTGAAAGTCAATTTCCTAATGATAGTAAAACCAAGAAGCCAGTAGCAGCTCTTCTAAGCAAACTAATCAGAAAAAAAATCTTGGCCGATGCTGTCATCATGGTTACTTCCAGGCCGAGCGAAGCGAACGATTTAGACAAAGAAATGCACCCTGATCACTATGTCGAAATTACAGGATTCTCAGAATCAGAGGTTATTGCATATGTTAAGAARTATTTTAGTACAAAACCAGAAGAAGTAAAAAACGTAGCACTTCGTAAGGTTAAAGAAAGCGCGCACTACATTTCATTTGGTCGCGTTCCTTTCCGTTGTTTGTTGATGTGTGTGTTCATCGAGTGGAAAATCAAAAAACACGATAATTCATGTCCTCTCACACTTACAGAGTTTTATTTTCAAGTAATTCAATGTATAGAAAAGAATTACAATAGAGCAATACTTAGTTTAGATGACAAAGTCGCTTCGTTGGCTGTTGACAAAACGCTCGATAATTTTTCAAAGTTAGCGGCACTTTTAGCCGAACAAAAGAGATTTAGTTTTACCTTACAAGACCTAGAAAACCTAAAATTATCAGAAAATGAATTATTGTACATAAAATCTAGTAATCTTATATTTTGTAATCCTGTTTCAAGTAATAATTCGCCATTTCAAAAGCCAATCTGTGAATATAGCTTCACGCACTTTACCATTCAAGAGTTTTTTGTTGCTCGGTATTTGGTGAAGAAAGGTCTAGTAATGGCGGCAGAAGAAAGCACTGAAATGGTGTACACATTCATGAGCGGTTTGTTAGGTTTAAATGATAATAATGAATTAATGGTAGAACTACTAGAGTGTCTAGGTAAACACATAAAGAATACATTATTTAATAATAGACTAAGACTGGTGTCATTGCGATGCCTGCACGAGTTTGGTCAAGACAAACGCTTGACAAGACAAGAACTAAATACAAACCGTGACTACAGATACTGGGATAGTGATGGGAGGATTGTATTACCTTATGGTGTAACCGACACGGACTGGGATGCAATCGCTATGTTAGTAGAATCCACTGCTACATCAATATCATCACCACCACACACATTGYACATTRKTKGSTCACCGATAACCATTACCGGGATAAAGAGATTGATGTCATCACTCATTATAAACTGTTCAATAACTAGACTGGTGCTGAGGTTGTGTAATTTGAATGATGAACATGTAAAGTGTTTGTGTAAAGATTTACAAAAGACAAAAATAACCCAGCTAAACCTGCAGCGTAATAAGATAACTGATGGTGGAGTGGATGACATCATGAAACACTTACACAGTAATCTCACCGAGCTAAACCTGACTTATAATAACATATCTGATGAATGTAAAGAGAAAACTAGACAATTCTGTAGGGATAAATATCCTGGTCTTAGGTTAGTCATGGACATAATGGACATGTTGTAGATAATTCAATGTTTGACTCTTGTAGAGTTGTAGTGATACAAGTAAACCAAACACAACAAAACTATCACATCAAACTATTTATTCATCATTTCTTAGTTTTCTACAATTCCTTACATATTCTTTTGTAAAAATATAAGCTTATATCAAAATGTACATTTTATAATTTTGTATGTTAGTTTTTAACATTTTGTAGTTGATAGGATTTTTTCAGTTTCAGTAAACTGAACTTGTACAAATGAGAGGACATGAAAAACTTTCTAATTAAGATTTTTTCTCTTGGGTTTAGAAAGCTTGAATAAAAATCTTAATGTAACTTTAATACATTGTACAAAGTTGTAGTAGAATAACATAGCTCAGTGATATAGTAAAAAATACAATATTTTTTCTTGTTTGTTATTTCTTACATGTAGCTTCAATAAAATTGAATATGGATTTCATGTCTTTTTTGCTTTTCTGGGCCTCAAACAACCAAAGTTTGGTTAAGCTATGACAGAAACATTACATCTTTCTTATGTTTAATTGAAAATCTGGTATTTGAAATTGAATATGTTGTTGTTTYTTTGAATAAAACATGAAAAAAGTTGACATTGTGACAAAGGTGCAAAGTGAAGTCAGTTAAAAAATTGCAAAACTTAAAATTTGACTAGATTTTCCTTTTAAAACTATTAAAAAACGTCTCGATGCTATTTCGCTAATTCTGCGTTCAATAGACAAGACTAATGTATATTCAAAGGTAAAACTTAAAAAACGAAGTGAAAATTGGACTATTTTCATAGCTTTTCAGTTTCAGAAAATAGCAAATTTTGCAAAAGCTTGAATACCGAATAAAAGAATTACAAAGATTAGTTAATTGTCTACGAACAAWTACATGTAAATGGTGAAATATGTTTTAGTGGTATTTTGATACCAAACCTTTGCTATCTGGTCTTGCATTTTAGCCTTGACAGTCAACCTAGAAAGATGAAAAGCAATCACTCTTTAAAACAATGTTTTTATTATTTAAAGTCTTAAATACGGACTAGACCAATACTAAGTGAAAATCACTTACCGTTTGTCAAGGTATTTTTGAAGCATGATATCTTCACAATTTAAGTGTAAGTTGAGCATAAAATATCCAACAAAACGACAAGCAAACCAAGAGAACTGTGACGACCTCAAACTCACAAACCAAACTGACGCTCGCGCACGAGTCACACAACAGATAAAGGCGGGAAAATAATACTCGATGCTGATTGGATGATATTGAAAACATGTATGACCGGTTTAGCAGCACAGGGAGCCCAAGCAATTGATTTGAATCTACGATTGTTGGAATAAAGTTTTGAGAAATACAATTTTATCAGGTGGAATTTTATTGAGAGTGTGTGTATAAAGAAGGAAAATATAAAGTAATAGAACATATAAAAATATGTCAAAGTTTTTAGTTTGAATGTTTTATGCATRTAACCTTTTCTCAG